TAAATATGAATATAATATATTTATTTCAAATTTGATTATGGCTAATTATAAAGCATATTTAATTAATAATTAAAAATTCCTACAAAAAATGGTCTTTGTAAATTTCACATATAGAAGTTATTCAAGTAAGATGCAAACATTGCCCACATTTTATTTCTTTTTCAAATAATCACACTAAACAATTAAATTTGTATTATTTATGTGATAAAAATAATTGCTTAGAGAGTAGCAGCCACTGACATCATGAAATGCTTATGGAACTGGAATCCATTAATTTCCCCTGAATCAGGGAAAATCTGCACACTATAGATGAGACTGTAAATTCATACAACCTTATCCAAAACAGCAGAAATAAAACTACCTTATAACCCAGCAGTCCCTCTCCTGGAAATATATCCAAAAGACTTGGAATACTCAGTAACTAATACATAGGAATATATAGAAACAATCTTAGTTTGGATGGATAGGTAGATAAAGGATGGGTATGTGTATACAATGATGCATTACTCAGCTTTATAAAGAAGACACTGTGATTTCTTATATGTGAATGAACCTGGATGTGAATGACATGATGCTAAGTTAAGTAAGCACACACACACACACACACACACACACACACACACACACATCAGCACTAAGTGACCTCACTTATATTCAGACAGGAAAAGTCAACATAATCTTTAAACAACACAAAGGTAGTGTAATAAATGGAAGACTGTAAAATAAGTTGAGCTACAAATAACTTAGGAGCCATCTTAAGTACAACTATACATAACTGAACATACATATGTATTTATAACTGAACTTAAAAGTATGAACCAAATAACAAAAATGTAATTGGAAATGGCTGCACTAAAAGGAGTTATGTTATTTTTATTTAAAATGATTTGTTTCACATACTGAAATTGAAGATTTAAATATTTATCTTTGAAAATATGAAATTATGTGTGTGTGAGTGTGTGTGTGTGTGTGTGTGTGTGTGTGTGTGTGTGTGTGTGTGTGCATACGCATGAAGGTGCCTGTGGAAGCCAGAAGAGGGCATCAGATCCCCCGGAGCTGGAGTTACAGGTTGTTGTAAGCCAACCTACATGGGTGCTTGGAACCAAACTCAGGCTCTCTGGAAGAGCAGCAGGTACTTTTAACCACTGAACTGTCTTTCCAGCTCCTGGTTGTTCTATTTTTATGTGTATGTATATTTTTATTGGAAATGGTATGGGAATATAGTTCAGAAAATACTAAATTCAGTTTTGGAAAGTTGGGAACATATAAAGATTAGAAAAATAATGCAATATATAGTATGACAATGATAAATTTTACTATGAGCATCAGTGTGGAGATTGCATACAGACAAAGCATTTGTGGTCTGTTTGCATAGATAAATTCTTAATTGTTTTTCCAAAAGAGATAGCTTCAACTTCATCAGAATTAATAAGACCTGGGGCTAAGGAAATTACTGAATCATTTGTCCAATCATATTTATCGATATGCTATGTACACTGCACTGTAACAAAAGATAAATATAGATGAATGCAAAGTACCTAGACCTGAGGTCCAAGGAGAGTACCATCTACAGGAGAAGTATGTCAGAGAGGGAATTATAAGGAATGAAGGGATTCCACAAGGCAACAATTCAGAATGCAGACTTCTGGGAGCACATAGCTGTTTATACCACCGATACCGCCTCCGTCCCTTTTGGAAGAAAACTTTATCAGGAAATTGAAGCAAATAAGCAAAACTCCCAAAACTCTTCTTTAATTTTTCCATATCCTAGGTGATCATTAGTCATAAAAATTTAGCAAATCATTAAAGTTCTAAACAAAACACAGCTGATATCCGGTTTCAGGAACCTAACATTATGTAAATTGCTTATGCTATTGATGTCCATCATATAAATATTTCTACGAGCTTAGGAAATAATGCAAGACACCCTTTCTCAAACAATTAGTGCTTGCAAAAGGTCTGCCCCATAAGGATTTAGCCCTACCACTCTTTGCTTTGCGTGCTTTCAGGTCATAAATTAACCAACACATCTCGTTTTCTACTAAATCAATCTCAATTTCCCAGTCTTCCTTCCTTCCTCCTTCCTTCCCCTTTTCCTCTACCCGTTCATTTCCTCTTTCTTCTTTCTCTCTTCCCTAGTCATCAATTCCTCCTTCCTAAAGCTGTCAAATTCTGCTATTCAGTAGGCTCCATTCTGAAAGAGGACTTCAAAAAGCGAAAGCATTTTGACAGAGGTCCCTGGTCCCCCACTCCTATGGCTCCTGAGAAAAGGGATGGACTGACAAGGGGAGGGCATGGGTGTGCCCGGTGTGGACAGGTAGATTCGTTGTATTTAAAGTAAGATCTTGGCAGATGCCTTGATTGTGTCTCCAGTAACTTCCAAATAATTTTGCAAAAGTTAGCATAGGTTA